GAATTAAGCACTTACTAATACTTTACTAATAGTGTGACATCATTAAGTGCTACTTTTTATGTGTTTAAATTCTTGAGGGGTTTGTTTCCCCTTATTTCATTAAGTTAATAAATGCCAATAAAACACAGTAGCATGGATAATGGAAGCAGTGGGAGTTGTACCATTATAATCACAAATGACAGCGAAACATTGACCAAGTTCTTTAATTGGACCCTACAAACCTTATAAAAAGCCAAGGAGCTCAAATTGAAAGTTTTAACAGCATAAAAAACCAAGAACAGTCCAGAAGGGCGAAACAAGGGGAACCGAACAAACGGGACACTTTTAAAGTGCATATCGTTTGGTCAACATTAACCAATCACAGATGACTTCACACTCTGGCCAAACCAATAACAAACAATAAATTAAGAATTCTCGTGCTCCACCCACCCAGAGACACCACCTTTGAATTAGGAATACTGTATAAAGGAAGTTTTATGAGTGATAAATAAAAGACAGGCTCCTCGGTCACAGTGGAGGGCAGAAAAATTTCTGTTATTACTTCTTATTAATGCTTTATGACTCTTGAATATCAGTATTTATCCAAGCAATCATAATCACCTTCAGTATTCAAGGTAATGTCAGAACCCACAGAGGTATGTCAATGAAGTGTTACGGTACATTCATCAGCAGGACATATAACTTTACATAATATGGACAAAAACTTGCATTAAAATTACATACATCCTTCAATAATTAAGCCATTCGCAAAGCACTGCTAAAACGAAACAGGTGCTTTGATAATGTTCAGATAAATAAAAGACTGCAAACCTGAAGACGAAAACAGACATTCTCAGCAAATCGGCCTGAAGCTATATACACAGAGACACACGGAGACGCCTCGCTACGCTTAAACACAGCTTTGATGACAAACTGGAGACGCTACCGCACGACAGCCTGGTGCAGCGTTCGCACTCGTGCATGCAGAGGCCCGAGCGTGCGACGTGCCATTTAGCTCGGGATATCCGCGCTGGTGTTGCGGTTGTCGTATTTGTGGTGGATGATGAGCAGAACCACACCCAGGAAGAAGCAGATGGAGCCCACGGTGATGTAGGCGATGCCCAGGAAGGGGTTCTTTCCTCCCATCCAGGAGATGGTGCTCAGGATCATCCGCTTGCGACCATCAAAACTGAGCACGGGGTAATCTGATTACATGCAGTTAAAGAGAAATGACAGAGAGCGCGCACACCGATACACCCTTAATCTACTGACAATTGAGAAACCAGAAAAATGATCTTTTTAAATATCTTTACACTCAATGGACACTTTATTAGGTACGCCTTGCTGTTGTCTTCATGGCACAGTTTCAACAATATATAAGAGATAAGGACAAACTCCTGTTTCACCACATCCCAAGAGTGTCTCTATTGCTTGAAATCCATTGACTTTGCAGGGCATTTGAGTGCACTGAACTCTTTATCACATTCAAGGAACCAACTTTGTGACATGCGCGTTATCCTGCTGTAAGGGCCAACAGAAGATGGATACACTGTGGCCATAAAGGAATATAAAATAATCTATTTGTGGCCCAGAGTGGATACTCGAGTATATGTAGATGTGTTTAAAATATTTATATCTGCACACCTCTTGAATCAAAAGCTTCTCCGTGTGCTAATCAAAGTAAAGACCGTCTGATCTGGAACACAGAGCACAGACTGAGGACTGACATGAGGATGATTAAGATTACTGTTTTGATACAATTATTTTAACACAAAACTCACGCTAGCCTGTTCAAAGCAGCATGTCTAACTCTAGTAATGAGATTACTGGAATGTAAAGGATACTGTAGGTGATGTTCAACATATAATTCCCGTTGGGCAGAGTTGGGGTGGTGCCAGACTTCTTCTGGATGATGCGATAGAGCTTCCGAAAGGTGGGCAACGCAGCCGTGCGCATCCACACGATGAAGTCCTCGTTGATAAAGCCGTTGTTATCGGGATCCGACGGGTCCAGCTCGTACACCGGCTTCGCCCAGTTCACCGGCTTCGCCGTGTCTGAGAGAGATGAAGACAAAACCCAGCTGGTCATTGCAGCTCGAGCCTGCGAGCGTACAGTCCTGTGAACTGTGTGCAGATGTCACCTTGGAAAGCTAAAGTCAGGTTGCTGTTTCCAGCGGGATTCCTGAATTTCACATGCTTGTCCGTCCACCACGCGATGCCTTTTTTTACCAGAGGAACTTCAATTTTACTGTTGTTGGAATCGACGTAGTACAGCACCAGAGTGTCTGAAACACATAATCAGTATATTCAGCACAGATATCAGGCTCTACAAAGCTTTAACACAGCAGTTTTAAACTGTAGATAAGACTCCGGTTAAGCTAAACAGCTGAGAGAGGGAAAGTAAAGTTGTTCAACACACTCACCGTTGAAAAGGCTGTTAGCGATGGCCCCACACGGAGCAATGGACACATCTCCGCTCTTACGGTACGGCTCACACTCCTTGCTGGGATCCTGGAAAAAGGACACAATGTTCACCTGATGGAAGAAACATTCACTGGATTCTCTGACTTATCTATAGGCACAAAAAGTACAGCAGCGTACCGTCAGAGCAGACAGGTCACCGTTCAGCTGTCTGTCATCTCTGGACTTCACATAGCGTCTGTGGTTCTGGTAGAAGTTGGACAAGCCGTAGTACATGAAGACATTGCTCTGTACGAGAGAGAAGACGACATCGCTGACAGAATTAGGAATCAGTAACAGGGTCTTACACACAATCTCGATGATCAACATCAGAAATCATCAAGATTAAAAGATTCCCCTTCGGAAAACAGTGATGGAAATTTGTTGAACTCACTGGTTACTGAGACTGGGAGATAAAACAAAATCCAATGATATCCATGCATATTTAAAAATAAATAATACATTTGTAAAAGGGTTAACAACATGCTACTCCTTGCCAGTCTGTGCCTTCATAAAAGGCTGTGGTGCTTGATCAGGTAGTGATGTTTCCCCCACAGCGTTACAGCACCGGTGTCATCTTTGTTTCGAGCAATCAGGCCAGTTTTACAAACTGCTTTTTGTGCGCACCACCACAGCTCACCTGGTTGAGTTAGCAACCCATATACCACAGGCTAAAGTCCTTACTGCAGGGGCCTGAGTTTGAGTCTGCGCAGGTTTATTTGAACCATTTCATTCCTGCTCGCTCTCCCTATTTTCTCTGCTGTCTGTTAAAGGAGGACTAAAAAGCCCTAAAGTAAATTTTAAATAACCTCATTTTATACCTGTATAAAATGTTTTATACAGGTATTTTATACATGTATACCTACTCCAACCAGAGACAATAACAGGTGCTGGAAATCTACAAGGAATATAAAAATAACATGGTACAACGCAATAGTGCTGCTGCAAAACGACAAGAGAGCAGCACTGCAGAAAATCATTAATCTTGCACATTCATAAGCGTTTGTTTTCAGTATGAAGAGAACGCTGGAAATAAACATTTAAAGCCCAGCTCATTTGTTTTGTTGCTCAGTGCTGCTGTTCGTTTCTACACAACTCACTTCATCAGGTTTGTTAAACTGAAAGATCACATGACTCCATTTTCTGTTGAACGTGAATAACTTTGTTGACAAAAATACTTCACCTTCAGGTGATTCACTCAGTTCAGGATGCAGTGCACTTAATACAAATACTTCTTCTGCTTCTTAGAAAATAAACACGCAAGCATTTTAATTTAAAAAAATGCTATTTTACAAGCCAAATGCAAGCTGTTAAATGAGACGAGTGCAGACGAGCAACTGAGAGCTTTTTATAAATAATCAATAAAGCCTTCTGAAAGCTGCAGAGCATATTTTAAACCTACAACAATCAATAGTAAAGCAGCCTCTAAACAAACCTTGAGTGCTCTTTGTTTGTACTCAAAATAGATCTTAATGGACAATTATTGTTAGGACTGCACGAGCAGCACTCTCCGTCCTGCAGGTAAATGCATGCATTATTCATTGAATTCAAATGCCTGGAAGCTGGTGGGGGATCTGAGCTCACCTCAAACGGCTGGAGCAAAGTGAAGTTGACGGTGCAGACGCAGGGCTCTGTGGTGTTCCAGGTGAAGTTCTTCGCACAGTTGTAGCACGGGCTGTCACTGCTCACACCAGTGTAGTCGATCTGAAGCAAAGAGGAAGTCAACTGATGTGGAAATGCACTCAGTGCTGTCTATTCAGTGCAGCAACATGACTAGAAGAAGGTACAGACTTGAATCAAATACAGGAACACTTTGTTTAATGCACAGGCAGCAATCACTTATGATCACAGCAGCCATCAAAGACCCACTGTGGGGCAGGAACCCCGGACACATCCTGTGTTTCTTACCTTCTAGTCCAGCTTTGTTTAGACTGTTTTGAAGCCATGTGACAGACACTTTAGAGGCTGTGGTTTGTGGTGATCTATGATCATCCACACTGATATAAGCCGTGATTCTGATCACTTTCTGGCCTCGTTAATATTAAATATGTGGTGCCGGAACTCCCCGTGTCTCTGATGTTTTTACCATCTAATATCGACTTTGATACAAGTGTGTAGCAACCACATTTAAAGGTAACGTCGAATGAATGCGCTTCAAACTGAACTTCAACACTATGTTGTTCATCTTTACACTTAACATTGTTAACATTGGCGTGACGTAAAGAAGCTACGTCACTTATCGAAGAACCGCTTATTCCTGTTTAGTGAGCCTCCTTCAGCAGGTTTACTGTGTGTAT